CTAAGTTATCGACTTAGTGTGTGAGTGTTTCACACATAGGTTCCGGAAAGCGAGAAGAGACGCTAAGAGGAGCAAGACATGTCAACATCTCCTTTACAAAGTTCAGATCAGGAAAGAAATGGATATGCTTATGTATTTTGTTCTATTAAATATAGTTGGCATGTACTAATAGAATTGAGTTGAATACGCTCTAATATGTTTTGTAAAATCAAATGTTTTTTAATTAATGCAAAGTAATTATTTTTCTTGAATTATGAATTTGAATTTTAGCCATTTTGTAAAGAAAAACATTTGAAAAGTCAATGTGACACATCAGACTCGTATTCGGGTCAGATACGGGTTGGGGTGTTACAGATTTAGTGCTACAAATTCTGATAACGCCCTGTGTTCAACACAATATCGTATGGGGTAATCATGATTCAAGTGTGTATTCAGTCTGATCTGCTTATTGGTGGCTCTAGAAACCGTCTCATACGATCGGAATGACCTCATCTATCTGGAATACTATAGCGAAGTTGTGAGTCTTACCTAAGGTACGTATTTTTGTGTGGAGATTAGCAAGTTAGGATTTACTGGTTGATAGTAAAGTAATGGCAACCGACATAGGCAATATTATTTGTCCATTATGCAAGGTCAAAATTGAAATAACGCTACATGTGTTTTTGGATTGTTCTTTTGTGAAGGACGTTTTTTGAGTGGTAGGTATATCAGGTGCGTTTCTTAATTTAGTTTATTCATCCCCAATATTATGGTTGGAATCCATACTTGCTATATTTGGGGTTGATTCTTTTGCATGTTTCATGGTTTTTCTTTGGAATGTATGGAATGGCAGAAATTCATTGGTGCATGATGGTCGAATTCAACCTTATTGGGTGATTGTGGCTAATGTTAGGGCATTGCATCAAGACATCCTCACGGCTCAAAGACAGTAAATGCCCAACATGCTCACTATTATTGATCCATATAGATGATGCTTACAATCCAACTGCCAAGATGGCAGTGATAGGGGTTGTTGCTCGTGATGCATCTGATTATGTTCTTGATGGATTGGCTACCACTTTGGGAGGTATCTATGACCCTGGTTTGGCTGAATTGGATAGCCTTGTTGCAGCTGTTAATCTTGTAGCAGAGGAGAACTGGAGGGACATTGTCATTAAATTGGGTTCCATTACAATTATCAATCTTTACAATGATGCGGTTGGAGATGATTCCACAATAGGTGTTCATATGCGAGCTATACGGGAAAAAATGTACTATTTTAATAGTTTTCTTGTGACATATGTTCGGCGGGAAGCAAATGTGGTAGCTCATAAGTTAGCTCAAAGAGCCCTTGATTGTAATGCTTACTATTTCTTTGAGGCTGATGTACCGCCGTTTACTATTACCGATGTAAAGCGTGATTGTTCATTGATTGATTAATGGATTTTTTAGTACTCTTTCCCTTTATAGGAACCCAACTTGTGTTGGTAGAAGGGTTTTTTTTTAATGAGGCACAATTTCTTTAAAAAAAATAATAACACATCTAATGTGTTATTGAACCAATAACATTTTAACTCATGTTGTCGAGCAAGTTTTATCATAGCATATACAACTCTGTTTCTTTCATAGTGTACATGTTGAAATTCCACTCTCCAACTCTTTTGCACTTGAACCGAAATATGTGCTAATATCGTGTGTTGTTCGCTGCTTTCTTGGCACTGCTTAGTCATACGAAAAGCGTCCAAACTATCATATTCTATAATCTTTTAAGAAACGCCTAAATCACATGCACAAGTGAAACCAATCAAAATCTCCTATAACCCAGCTCCGACAACCGAGCAAATGCCTATGAACTTAGAGAAACTTCGAATCCAAACACTCTCGGGGTCTCTAAGTGCTCCACCGCATCATGTGAGACCATTCTCCTTATTCCTAGCACCATTAGAATTAATTTTGATCTAATTCACCGGTGGATGACTCCACACTACAATCTTTGAAATTAAAAGCCCCTGTACGCACCTTTTATCATCTTCCGCGACAATGGTCTTGCAAATAACCTATTTCAAATGCCTACACCGCTTCATCAAATACCTATTAAATTTTTATATATATTATTAGTTTTAATATTTTTAAAATATTTTATGCATTTTTTTTCACGGGAGTTACTATTTTTCTTATTTCTAGAATTGTTAGAGTCCCAAAGGATATTTACACTAATTTGTTAAACAATTTTTCAAATATTAAGCGTTAAAAATTCAACTCAAAACATTAAATTATTTATTAAATTTTTTTCAAAAATTAAATAACTCAATTTAATTAACTTAAATAAAAAATAAAACTTTTTAGAGTTGACTCTAATTTTATCAACACCTTATTAAATGCTATTATTACATGTTTAAAGTTTATATGCTTTATATATATATGTATATGTTCTTCATATGTAAATTTATGTATCACATAAGTTTTTATGCAATAAAAAGTAAAAAAAAAAATCAATCAAACTTCTGGTGACAGCGGTGTGTTAGTTAATAATTGGTGTAGGAAATTAATGTTAAATTTGAATTTTATTGTTACTATGATATATGATTGATCGAATTAAAAATATATTTAATAAATAATAATAAACTTAAACTACTGAGAGATAGTGAATTATTTTCGATGAAAGTATTTATTTTTTAAATTTATAATTTATCATTTTATAACTTTTGATATTTATAATTTATTTATTTTATATATTTTTACATCAAATATTTTTTTAATTTTTCTTAATTTCTTTTTTTAGAAAAAATTAAATAAACTTCTAACTTTCAATTTAAATAGATTATGTTCTTTATCAAAGATGGATCGAGTGGGGGTGGCTGGGATTTTTATATTTTAAATTTTTATATATTTTTCTATTGAATTTTTTTTGTCCCTTGAAATTTTATAAATTCGTCAATTCCTAAAATTTTAAAAGTTATTCCCTTAGAATAAAATTATGTGTCCGTCTCTACTCTCAATTTTGATTAAAAAATCAATTATATCATCAAACTTACTAAAAATTTAATTCAATCCTTTCGTTATGTCATGATTTTGATGTGGATTATTGCATAAGCATTGTGAACCTTCATATTAGCACAATGAATTGCTACATCAACATTGTTAACTGTCATGTTAGTACTATAACATTCAACATCAAATGTCAAAAAAATAGGCAAAATGGTCACTTTTACATTTGTAGTAGACTAAATTTATCATTTTCACCCCTAACGTATTTTCACATCAATTTAGCCATCAAAGTTGTTTAATTGCATCTTTCTATACCATAACCCTAACTTAAAACCCTAAAATTTAAAACTTAAACCATATCCCCTAGCCTCTAAACCACAAATCCTAACCTAAAACTTTAAACAATAGTAAATATTTTAAACATTGATGCAATTGAGTAAAATCAACGGTTTATATATACTAATTTAATCAATATTTTAAACAATAGTAAATTTAATCAATTAATAATTCATACACATTTTATATATACTGCTCGAACCTAAAATCTTTTTTTTTTAAATTTTACCATTGAAACCATTGGATATTTTTAGAAATATTATACACATACTATCAACGGTTTTAAAATATTGTAAAATCATCTATACTAATTTAATTTAATTAGCATCCAAGGAAAAAAAATCCTAAAATCTTTAAACAATAGTAAATATTTTAAACAATAGTAAATATTGTAAAATCATCTATACATATCCCCTAGCCTCTAAACCACAAATCCTAACCTAAAACTTTAAACAATAGTAAATATTTTAAACAATAGTAAATATTTTAAACAATAGTAAATTTAATCAATTAATAATTCATACACATTTTATATATACTGCTCGAACCTAAAATCTTTTTTTTTTTAAATTTTACCATTGAAACCATTGGATATTTTTAGAAATATTATACACATACTATCAACGGTTTTAAAATATTGTAAAATCATCTATACTAATTTAATTTAATTAGCATCCAAGGAAAAAAATCCGAAAATTAGGTCAGCTTTTTTGGGGGAGGAGAGAAATAAAAAAGAGTTAAGGGCTTAATTGCCATTTAACCATGGCCGTAGTTTAAAATATCAAAATGAGGTGCCCAAATCACAGAGCTTCTTAGGAAATGAGAACAAATTGAAAATTCGGATTCCGAGGATTTGTAATTTTTTTAGTTTTATTAAAATATTGTTTTTTGAAAGGGAAAAAAATATTTGTTTTCGTAACGATTTATTGCTTTTAAGGTCAGTTTGACTGCGTTATTAAAATATTTGGATGTACCATTATCACGAAAAAAGATGTACATTAGCTGACGCCATTATCTAATATTAATGTAATAATATATAAAAATATTTACAATATTACTTTATAATTACTTTAATTTAATTAAAAAAAAGAGAACCTTTAAAGAATTCACAGAACAAAGAGATTATATTTAATACGTTTGAAGCTATAAATTTAAGGTTTAATATAAAAATAAATATTTAAATTATATTTAAAATTGTTTTTTAGTACCTAGAAAATATTTTGTTAAAAGTAGATGCATAATGTGTTGTTTGTTACATTTTTTAAGATTTACCGTTAAAAAACCCATTAAATAATATGTGTTATATTTATATTTTTTATTTTTTATAAATAAAACACTATTTAAAATATTTAAAAAAAAATCTGAAGATGATACATATCACTTAACAATATATTTCTAAAAATATAACGAAAACAAATTAGAAATATATTTTTAACGAAAAATTTTAAACACAAAAATAATTTTAAGCATAATTAAAACACTTATTTTCCTATTAAGCTTTAATTTAAATATATGTACATTTTCATCTATTATTTCTTATTAAGTGATTTGAGAGACAAGGATAGCATTAAAAAAGTAATTTTATAAATTGCAAGGCAAGGGCAATTTGGGAATGAAGAATAAGAAAGGGCATTCTAGTGATTGACCCTGTTTTTAACCTATAGAGTGCACATACAATACAAGAGAAAAGACCTTGTTTTCCCACTGTCTCTTTTTCCCTCCCCCATTAATGGAGGGAAGTTTATAAAAATCTATAATTTTCCCCTCTAGTTTGAAGCAAATTTTTTTAAAAGAAAAATCTCGATTTTTTCTCAAATTTTGGGTTGCCATTTTCGAGAATGGAAGAAAAGGAAAGTACGATATCTGGATCACTGGGCAACTCGGACACTGACTCACCACCTGCACCAGTGAGCAGCCTGCAAGTGTTGCCCCAGGTGATGGACTTCAACAGGATCTTGGAAAGAAACATTGTTAGTTCAACAACAGTGACGGCAATAACTACGACGACAGCGAGTCCAGGATCAGGTGGAGGAGGAACAGTGAGTGATTCTTTGGGGAAGAAAAAGAGAGGGAGACCCAGAAAATATGACGCGGATGGGAACCTTAGGTTACCATATCAGATAGCGACGGCTCCACCTCCTGGTTTCACTTTATCACATTCTTCTCCTACTGAGTTCAACTCATCCAAAAGAGGTAAAATGAAGTCTTCTACAGGGAACTGGCAGCTTCTTGCTTCTTTAGGTAAAGTTCGAGAAACTTGACCTTTTTTCTCTCTCTTCATATAAACATCTGTTTGGTTCTCGAGAAAACCATTGCAGTAAATAGATTCCAGCTTCTTATTGCTTATTCTCTAGGTAAAGCTCGTTAAAGTTAAAGGGTTGTTTTATTTTGTCTAGTTCCCGAGAAAACTCTTGTTTGGTTCCCGAGAAAGTGCATAGATTTAAAGAAAGAAAGAAGAAAAATACGGGCTTGTGATTGCCTGCACTGCATTCCTTTTGTTATTGTCAATCTATTTTTTTTGATTTACGGGGTAAATAGTTGTTAGCCTACATACCAAGAATAAAAGGAAAAGAAAAAGAAGATATTTTATGGGATAAATCTCTAATGGGACATAGAAATATAGCCTTAAGAGACTTTATTTTTTCTTTCTTTAAGTATTTTTTTTAGTTTCTCTATTTCTCACCCAACTCATTTTGGGTAGTTGATTCATGCTTTCTATGGTAACCAAAAGATTTATTTATTTTATAATATTTGATTCATTAGTCTACTAATTTGAATATAATAATGTAAAGATTTATTACAGCAGTTACCTTCTTAATCTAATTTATTATTTAATTAAGATTTATATTATAAATAATCACTTAAATCGTATTATTTTTATTTAAATATCTAAAATATTTTTTTATTAAAAATAAATATACGAAGTATTCAATATTTTTTTATCTAAGTTCTAAAAAGAAAGCCATTAAATAAAGAATGTATTATGTATTTATGTTAAAGAAATTGAATACCTTATATATTTATTTTGACCATTATATATTATAAATGAGTTATATATCTTTCATTAATATATCTATATAAAAATAAATAAATAACCCTTTTATTCATGTGATGTTATTTAGTTAGGGGTATGGATATGTAATAATCATCATTTCATAAAATATGAACCGTTCATTAAATATTAAATGTAGCTTTTCACATTAATTACACCTTTGACAAAAACGACAATAGTTTGAAGGAAGTAGGTATTTTGGTTCTGAGATTTCTATGTTTGTCCATTAGTGCATTTGCTAGAAATTGAAGCAGTATCTATAAAAAGGATATCCATTTAAGTGTAAGATTAATTATTAATACATTGATAAGGTGGTGACTTTATTCACCATTTCAATGCATTACCTAAAATTATTAATATTATTTCTATTAAGGTTACAAAATTAGCTCTGGAAAAAGGCATCCTAAGTTGGCCAAAGAAATTGGTGAAATCTCCTCTTCTCTTTTATTTATATCGAGTCATTTCTTTTAATTATTTTGCATTGATACTTAATTTCAAAAAACTATATATATATATATATATATATTTATAAATCATACATGGATTGTTTCTAAATTTTATTTTGGTTTAGATTCATTTTTAAAATTTATTTTGGTCTAATTCCAAATATGTTTTAATTCGTACTTAATTGATTATGATTTATTTGGATATGTATCGTTTGTAAATGTATGTTTTAACTCATATTATCTATATATTAAATTTGGACAGGTGAATTATTTGCTAACACGGCTGGAGGGGACTTCACTGCACATGTGGTCAAAGTTAATACTGGAGAGGTAATTACCCCAAATGTCCGCTAATTGAGAGAGTAATCTGTGAAGATTTCGGCTAAAATAGTTTGACAAAATTTGACAAGAGTTAAAAATGAAGCACCCTTTTACTCAAGTATTGAAATTTTTAAATTTGATTGAGAATGCAGGATGTTGCAGGGAAAATTCTTTCGGTATCAGAGAAGGGTCCTCGTGGGATTTGTATTCTATCAGCAAATGGAGCTGTTTCTAATGTTTCCATCCGACAACCTGGTTCATCTGGTGGGATTTTAACCTTCGAGGTATGTGTTTTTTCCCTCTTCTTTACTGTTAAGAGGAAATTTTGATTCTTTCTCTTTTTCAGATTGCTGTCTGTCTCTTTAGTTTAAGATTATGTCCTACGTGTCTCTGTGTTCTTATCTACGGTAGTCATGGCTGCAATGCATGTTGCAAACGTTTCAACAGCTTATTCTGAAATGTCTTTTCACTCGGAACCAGGGGAGTTGAAATTTGGAATATTATTTTACATTGCAGGGCCGGTTTGAGATATTGTCTTTAACCGGATCATTTACCTTCAGTGACAACGGTGGTGCAAAGAATAGAACCGGTGGTTTAAGTGTTTCATTGGCTGGACCGGATGGTCGTGTAATAGGTGGTGGACTTGCTGGTACATTGTTGGCTGCTAGCCCTATACAAGTATGTCCTTTCCTACTTGTTCTCGTATTTGCCAAAACATTGTCTATTTCCTTCAACTAATTAGATATAATTACACGGATATTATCATTAAATATTTAAATTACACTTCAATCTCGATGTTTTAGCACAATATTTCAGTTTTAGCCTTGTTTAAATAATATATATACATACAATTCCATTTTTATTTTGATAGATCGTGGTGGGGAGCTTCATGCCAAATGCCTACAAAGTGCAGAAAAGGAAGCCATACCGTGAGCAGCACAGGGTGGCAGCTTCCATGGTCCCCGCCGTGGCGACGGTGGAAGAAGCAAGGTCAATCTTCTCACAAGCAAAACCCGATGGGGAAAACAACATGAAACCAACATCGCCATTTCAAGTGGTAACCCTTGGGGAGGCGAGCAATAACATAGCCAATATTGCTGCAGCCTCCATCGTTTCCGGTTGGAATAACAGCTCAGAACCGGCCTCGATCCACCGGCCATCACCTGATATTAACGTGTCAGTGCCTAGTGAGTAGGGGTAATTAACTCCCTTGAGAACATTCTTCATTTGAGGATTAGCTTCTTTAGAATCTCGGACATGATAAATGAGACTCGATTCGAACTAATTTTTATTTACGTTTTCGTTTGTATCGTAGCGTTTAGATGCAAAGTTTTCTATAGTCTGTATCTGATGTTTTGATAGATGGATCTTAGCTTATAACAGATTTATGATCAATTATTTTGTGTTTGGTAAAAAACGTTTTCTAATTGTTGTTTGCTTCTTACTCTTTTTATTTGGAAAATGAAACACTCGTGGATTTGGGTTTGATTTGTGTTCAAATCTTTTTAAATAAATTTAATTTAGTTAGTTGAATCAAATTTGGAGTGAAATTATTAGTTTGACCATCTTTTCTAGATTACTGTTCAATTAATAATAATTACCATTTTTATTTAAATTTAATTAGAAATATGTAAATAATAAACCAATTTTAATTGGATCTTAGCATTTGTTTTTCTATTATCCGAATTCGGCTCGTGCTTGCTCTAATCATGAATACAACAGCCGAAAGGGATAAAAGACTCCTCACTGCTCACAACCTAATTGGCTTTATTTCTTTTCTTCCAAATACCATCATTTGATCATATGACTAACATAAAATGAGAGACCAGGAAGTGGATTATTGCGCTTTAAAAGAAATTTCCAGTTTTAAATCATCATTAAAACCATAGGTTTGATTAAAATAAGTATTTGAAAAATATTTTTAAACTTAAACTCAAAATTAGCAAAATGTTTTGAAATTAAGATTATATTTTTAATCTCATTATTATCATATGATATATTTATTTTATAATCTATCAATGTATACTTTCTTATTGTGAAAAAAAATTATATGATTAATAAATTATTTTTGTGTTTAAAAATTTATATCTCATCATATTAATTTTTTAGATAAAAAAACATTTTAAATATTATACATTTTTATAAAATACATGCAATCAGTATAAATTTATTTATTTCAATAAAAATATTTTTATTATATTTTAAGTTGATATATTTCATGATAAAAATATTAAATATTATTTAAATATATTTTTAAATTTTATTTGATGTATTTTCATCATGCTTTAAATTAATATATTTCATGATAAAAAATATTAAATATTATTTAAATGTATATTTTAATTTTATTTGATGTATTTTCATCTTGCTTTAAATTGATATATTTCATAGTTGTCGAATTATGAAATTTAAATATTATTAAAACATTTATTTTTATTTTAAATAAATATATATTCATCTTATAAATAATATTATTTAAACTTAAATTATTAAAAAATATATCATTTTTCATCAACAAAACCACTGCAGTAAGTTCTATGAGAATATAAATTTATTAGCACTTATTTGAATCTAAAACATGAGTAAACAAAAATTTATTAAATTGTTCCATTCTACAAAAATCGTCTATGTTGTACCAAGATTAAGATTTACAAAATCTAAAAAAACACAACTTAAAAAAAACTTAGTTTTCTTTTATTGATATGCCGCTCATCTCTTTCTTTTTTTTGTCTTTGTTAATTGACGATAGTACCAAATTTAGTGGCGATTGTTGACATCCAATATTCTTTTTTTTCTTTGTCTTTTCTTATATTGCATCTCTATTTTCTTTTGTTTTTATTTTCAATAAATCTACATGTATGACATGTTTTCATTTGTTTTTATGTATGTTTTCATATGTCTTTAAAACACGCTTTCTTCTATCTTTTTGCATATTTCTTTTCGATCGTTTGACTATTTTTTTATTTATTTTTTAAGGGTTGATTTGACATCGTCACATGTAGACACTTATTTTCGTCCGGGGGTCAACACGATTTCCTTATTATAATATTTTATAGTAAATATACATATAATAAATATATGTATAGGTATATTAAAGTATAATATAATTTTTGAAAATATTATATATATTATATAGTATGATTTTTGAAAACAAATATTATGCATATATTATATAGTATAGATTTTGAAAACAAACAATTATTATATATATTAAAATAATATGATAAATATTATATGGTTTCGAAAAAATGTAATTATTTTATTTCTATTTTTTTATTCGTTTTATTAATAATAATATTTATTGTTTTATGTCCAAAGGTCACAATCCAAGTCCTGGTTTGGTCCAATCAAAGTTTAAGAAGGAGTCCATTTCAAATCGGGTCAAATGTTAAGTGGGAAAAATAGTCCAGGCCCAATAAAGGAAACTCAAATGCCTGATCCAGTAGTCAGATCTAATAAGGAATAAATGACTCAGATCGAGCCTTCGAATTTAGGATTAATCCCTAAAGTGAGATTAAGTGCCGCTAACAATGCTGACCATCATATCAACACAACATCAACGAACTAGATTAAGTCTGGATTAGGGTTTCTTTAACCATGAAGTGAAGTTTGCGTCTCTCAATAGGGGACCATTGCTTCTAAACCAATCAAATGGTCTAGAATCATCCAAAGATAGGAAAATAACCCTAAAGCCAAGAGATTTTGAGCTCCGCCAAAAAATTTGAGAACATTCCAAAATATCTCAAACGAACCCAAAGGCCACGCAATTCTGTCGTTTGTTTTGTACCATACCAACAAGCCTCGTCATCATCGTGGAAGGTGAAAAAATAGAGCGATAAAAAGAAAAAAAACTAGTGAAACAAGGGGAGATTTTATTTTTGCCTCTTATTCTTTTGTAAAAAAATAAAACCAAATGTAAAGGAATTCTTTTCAGAACCCTAACAGGAAAAATAAAATAAAGAAAAATTTTTTTCCTGAGAGTTTTTCATGATTTTTTAGGGCATGCATGTTGAAACAAAACAAAAAATAGACGGATAGGGAAGTGAGAGTTGTAACATCTCGATTAGGTTTTTCTCTAGTTGGTTTTAGGGGGTAAATGTCGAAGAGAAGAAATATAGATCAAAGCGAGCGTTAACTGGTAGTTCAGGTCACCGAAGAGTGAAACTCGAGAGGTAAAAGAGATCTTTAGGGGGTTTAAAGGATTTTTAGGAGATCCTAGGAATGACTAAACCTGATGCTATGATACCACTAAATGTAACACCTTAATCTAGTCCGATCTGAAGATCAATGGATTACGATGTCACGCGAGGCCATCGAAGTGGCTAACCCAAAATTTTTCTTTTAAAACAATTGTAATCATTATGTAAAAAGTCATCCATAATGATATAAAATAAAAAGTAATAAATCTGATTTTACTAGACGGGGGAGCTCCCAAATCATCCAAAATAAATACAATGGGTTTAAATAAAAATAGAATTACGATTGAATACAAAAGGGTACAATAGTACATACCCTCTAAGATAAATCAAGACGTGCTCTAAAGTCTCTACTGAGCTGAAATATTTGTTGACGATAATGCTCCACGGACGGTCCCCTAAGAACCTATGCATGGAAACACATTCCGAACGTTAAACTTATAAGCTCAGTGCCACCCTAATAATTGTAATATACTACATGCATTCGCTAAATGCGCATGCTAGTGGTATAGATATGACGATAAGGAAATGTTGATATAACATGACGAGGTAGACATCATGGTGTTGTTGAGGGTTCTGCATCTCAGAGAGCACACATCTCTAGCCGTTTTAAAATACCTTTGGTTATTTTGGTTAAGATCCAAAACTGCATTGGAAATGTACACCCATCCAACTTACTCCGTTGAGTCTTGGGGCATCTGCGCCCAACTGGCAACTAAAGTGTCTTGACACTGACTAGGATATATCTGAGCTGTACGATCATTATCTGCTAAAGTGATTAGGGTGTCCTAACTATTTTTCGAGCATCAAACAAGGCTAGTTTTATGGCATCATAACTGCTATTGTTTCTAACTATTCTACGCTTATTAATGTTATCACTTTTAGTTTTATTTCATGGTATTATGGTTTTATTGGGTCCCTCAAATCTATCCCTTAAAACCCTTGGGTTTGTTATACAAAACTATTTGTGGGTACACATAATAAGCCCCTAAGTATCGATACTGACATCTAGGTATTGATACTATTGACTTATTGAAGACTGATAACAAAGGGCTAGTATTGATACTCTAGTTTAAGTATCAACACTTTTGGTATGTGGTATCGATACCAATTTTTGCTTCGATGTTTTGGAAAATACTTCAGTATCGATACCCTTACTGGGAGTATCGATACTCTACATTCTCCAATCCAAACTTCTTGAGCATATATTTGATGTACTTTGCTTGATTGATGAAGTTGCCATCTTTCCCTTGCTTCATTTGGAGTCCCAAGAAAAATGAGAGCTCCCTCATCATGCTCATCTCAAACTCACATTGCATTAACTTAGCAAATTCTTGACAAAGATTATCATTAGTAGATCCAAAAATAATGTTTATGTGCTTAAACTTAAGATGTTTATGTTATATATGGGGAAATTGTAACTTAGTTGTCACAAAATAACTCAAGTAGTATTTCTTATCAATCCATAATTAGTAGTTCATGTGACAAAATTTTGCATTCATATTCCGATAAGTCAGAGTCCATAAACTTGATGATCTCTTATTTACTAGACCTCTGATATGTAAGCATGTAACATTTTTGTTCTTAAATATATTGTATAAATCAGTTTGGCTACTAGCCAACGATCCATACCCAAATTGTTTAAATATTTGCTTAATATCCCAAAATCATACGCTATGTTTGAATGTTTATAAATCTGAGTATACATTAAATTCTTTATTTATTTTGAAACATAAGGAACCTTTTACATTTCCTTAGTTTCAAGACTAAACTTGGTTTCTTTAGCAAAAAGGGGTATTATTTGGTTTACTCACACTGAACTTGTAATATATATAGTTATCAACCAAATTCATCTCAAAACCAAATGAGATAATCACTTGGTGAAGTTTATTATACAACTAATGGGAGTAATACTTGAACTTATAAATGGATTTCCTTAATTTGCATATTATTAATTTTCTAATTGCATCGTATAAAATATTTCATCAATGTTACCATTGAGAAACACAATTTTAAAATCCAACTTATGTAACTCAAAATCAAATATGAGCAACAAGTATCATAATTATCCGGAAAGAGTCTTTCAATGAAACCAAAAAGAAAGTCTCTACAAAAT